AATGCTGTGCTAGAGAATATTATATAACATGACAAATAACATTAAATGGAAGTTTAAGGCTGGAGTGCTCCTTTAAAATGCCTTGATTACTAAAAAAAACAGGGAGGTAGTACTAGCATTGCAGCTAGCTAGAAAATGACAATTTATTTAGTACCAAAAACCAAACAAAACATCAGAATAAAAACATAACATCAAAAAAATACATACACATATTTGCTTATATGCCTCGCTTCAACACTAAAGAAACTGACTTTATTTCAAGGCCATCTGCTCAGTAAAACGCACCTAACCCTAATGCTAAACGAAGCTTTCTTCGAACGATCATGATGCTGGATCTGCATCATATTCTCATCTTTGCTTATGATGAAGCGTGAGTCTTGTAGTGGTGTCTAAAAGAACTCTGCCATTAATGAATGCAAAGGGAAACAATAAGGTAGCACTCAGTAATGCTTTCCGTTCAAAGCGTGGAAGCAGAATGGAAACACTGTTGCTGTATTAATCTATAGCGTCTAATCTAACTACTATAATCCTCTACATTATATAAGCTTCAAGAGCTCTTGACGCCGATATTAAGACTGTACTGCGTTAAGATGTATAATGAGAATGCTGGGTCATGCCAAGTGAATTCACTCGCTGACAATGCTCAGCCCATTAGTAGTCCGCACAGGTAGACATGGTCAGAGTCCCACAGAAAGATGGCTGAAAGTTTCTCTCTGAAGTTTCTCCTCTGACAATAGTCTTCAGAATGATGACCAGAGGAGGAAGCCTCACTTGTGGAAAACAGAATTATGATCGACCTTATTAAGGCAGTTTTACAGCTTTAAAATATTTAAAAGTTTGACTACTTAATAACAGATTAAAAGGGAACTCTCTAGTTTCCTAAACTCAGATTACAGCTAGTCTACAGGGGATTTTTAAGGTAAAATTTAGAAATGGCAAGTCATAAAAAACGCTGGATGGGATATTGGAGGAAAAGAAAAATGAATCCGATCCAATCTTTCAACAAATCCAGCCTGAAATAGTAAGTCACATTAGCGCTTTTCCACTTAATATTCAAATGCAACAACTGGCCCAAATGGGAACCAATAGAACTTACAGTTCTAGTTCATTTTCACCCGATTTGAGAAACAGCTGGAACCATCATAACAACCGTGATCACACAGAATAACGTGCAGAATCAGGCAAAGATCAAATGAGGGATGAGTGATGTTCTGCGGAGGCCAGCATAAGTACTTAATAGCATTAGCATCTGCTTCCTAACTAGTTTACCTTAGCGACTCTATGCTAAGTAATAATTCTTGAAATATAAAACACAGATAGACATACAGACAGACAAAAAAAAAAATCTTTGACACCATGACATACCATTCTAGTTTCTGGTATAATTGTTGGTTGTGTAATAGTGCTTGATAACTTCCGTCTTCACCTGCAAAAAGTGAAAAAATACTACTGGCACTGCAGTTTAGTCCAAGACTAATGACTAACTTTTAATGCATGTTCATGAAAGCGGCCCTCAGGGTTGTTGAAATATTAGGCCAGATTTGTTTTACTAGATTACCTTAGTAGTAATTCAAACTGTCCAGTGAACTGGATAAGTGTCTACAACGTGTTGACTTGTGTGGGAGTGGTGATCACCTGTGGGTCTGTTTTTTGCTTGGTTTAAAGTAGAAACTGCTTAATTGATGCTTTAACTATGTGGTGAGAGTAAAGCAAATAACACGTAGTTAAAAATCATTTCCACAAAAGTGTCACCCCCCTCACAGAACACTCTGTGGACCACAGTGGCTGTCCCACTGTGCATATGTCTGAATATGACTGTATATGTAAAGGAGAAATGACCAGGCCTCTGCATGCATGTATGAGAAATGACAGACTGTCTATATTGAATGTGGATTCAAATATTGTCGCTGTCCAAAGAAAAACAATTAACTCCAAAATAGTAACTTTACAGGAGAAGGCAAAAGCCTTCTTAACTTTTAATGCAGGTTTGTGTAAAGAAGTTTTATTTCAAATGATTTTGGAACATTTCTTTTGGTCTATTCATCATGAAAATGTTCACACAACGTAAATAACAGCCACTGTGTTTAAATGATGTAGTAAATAAAACTCGACAAAAACTGAGATACATGTTTTTTTTGTTAGACAGTGACAACTGATTAGCGGTATCACAGTTGATGCAGTAATAACGCTGTTAAAGCATTTCCTTAGTTTGACCTTTTGAAACATCTGTACTTTGTGGCTGAAGCTCAGCTGCTCATGTACTGTTGCTTGTTTGGCTTTCTTGATGAAAGCCCAGTTAGTTCCAGCTACGGCCATTGGGAATTGATTACGGAAGGCAGTCTTAAGTAAGAGCGAATGCCGGCAATGTCAGTAATATAAGCAACACTAGCCTTGGAGGACGCCTTCAGCATGCTATGCTGGAAAACACTCGCGAGAGACCTATGGATAAATCAACAAGCAGAAAACTAACAAGAGCAACAGCACAGTGGAAAGCTACATTACCCTCGAAACAAGACGTAACGTTGTGGTATTGCAAAGTTCAGAACACGCAGCAACTGTTCTAACTAAACATCAGTGATGAAAACTGGAAACCGAGCTTACTGTATGGCAAGCATGACTTTCAAGCATTCACACAATAGAAATAATGTTACTAAATCACTGAAAGTAGTAAATACATTCTGAAGAAGCCAATTTTGGGTCTAATTTGAGCAAATAAGACAAATATTATTTATCACAATTATTTATTTTAATCATTTAGCACCGGCACATCTTTGAGCCTAAAAATATGCATTTCATGACCAATATCAGTCTTTCAGGTCCAGCTATAAGGACAAAGGGGACCTGATCCCAGAGCCTTGAGTATCAGAGGGCCACAGTGTGTCACTGCTTAATCCAGTGTCTCTGTTGCTGACTCACTAGTGGTCTGTGTGAGCTGCTGAGCAGAACCCGAGGCAGGCCAAGGACACGTTTTTCATTGCACTATCCTTCATTAACCTGTTATAATTCAGGCGTTATAATGGGCCAACAACACAGTCGCAGGTCACTGCATGGAAATATGCTAACAAGAGCCACAACTAGGGATTCTGGGCTGCTTTTGTGAGATTCATAGCACTAGATTTCGCTCCTCATCTTGTTCTCAGTCGTTATGAAGCTAACCAATCTCTAATCTCGGTGACAATAAAAGCACCCAGTTGAAGAAAGTTGATCAAAAGAAAGGCTACAATGTAATCTGAGGGTTGCATGAGAACCATAACATAATGAGAAATCTGTTTACAGTGTATTAGATCATACCTCCTGCACTAAACTGCTGAAAGTGAAAGCAAATGTCACCTACTGGTGCAAACAAAAGTGTGAGCTGGTGAAAATCAGGCCAATGGATTACTGTCAGGCTGGTCCTGCACAAGAGCCCAACAGGTGACTTAAATTAAGACAAATCATCCCTGACTGAAGACGCATTATACAGTAAAGGTTTAGCAAAGTCTTACGGAGAGCTACACCAAGGCTTTTACCTGCAAATATGGGGTCACATCACATTTGCAATAAATGTTTTCCAGATTTTCCACTCAAAGTGTGTTTTTTTCTATATGTTTAATGATCTCAAACTAAGAAAGCTCTCATTAAAGCAGCCCTACACTCCCCTCTGCAATACCTCGACAGTATATTCTTTAATGCCTGCTATCAGGTTCCAAACTACATGTAGAACACAGTCATACTGAAATGTACTGGCGCTGAGGTCTGCTTAGGCTCATCTTTGACCAGATTATCATTTTAGGGCATGATTTTCAAGTAAAAACAGTTTTGTATCCTAGGGCTGTGCTTAATCTGTATCTGAGAGGAGATCTGAGCCAGGCCCAGAAACCAACCTGCACTTGATGACCTCAGTGACAGCTAGAAGTAATCGAAGAAATTCTCCACTGCTAGAGCACCAAGCAAAAAGAGTTCTTTACAGAGCTTTGGGTCAAACATGTATCTTTCAATATCATTTTCGGACTTCTTCTAATATAGCAATATAAATGTTTTCCAAAATGGTTCAGTATTAAGTACTGATGATCCTAAGCAAAGGTAGGCTGGTCTGAGCTGCTCCAAATCAAGGTCTTTCAGCTAACTGCACCACGTTCCACAGTGAAAAAGTGTTTTTCAAGCATTTACATAGATTGAGCTGCATTGATTGACTGTTATCTCATTAATTTGACTGGGACGTTTATCAGGACAGCTTTGTCAAGTTTGCATAACAAGCATTTTAAAACGTGGCCACAAACCAACTGACCACTTTGTGATCTGAAACTGTGCTTGTTGACTGACTTCTCTATCAAATACTAGTAGGGACAGGAGTGCAACACCGTTATTAGCTTTGCTACTCAGTCATGGGCTGATATCAAAACGTAGTATAACCGTGATTTAGCTGGACAAACGTGCCCTAAAATGCAACCTAAAAGTCGCAACTTGACAGCAACAGCTCCCAAAAATGGTGGCATTAATTTTAAAAATCTAATCCAGGTAACTGGCTGGCAGTCTGACAGTCTGAAGCTGAGTGATATAGTGAGCTTAGCTTACTAGCTTCCAACTACACTGGCCGAGCTGCTAGCTAAGCCTCCAAGCTAGCCAACCTCAGCTAACATGATAATACGAGAATAAATACGAGCCCGTGATTAAAAAAGTACACCACGTACAAAAAGGCAGGCGGATTGCGGTGAGATTCGTTTAACGCTTCGTAAGATAAAATTGGTATCAGGCTGGACGTGACAATAAAGAAAAAAACAAGACAGCCAGCTTGATGTGGCTAAGCGAATGAAGTCGACACCGACAGCAGCAGCAGCAGCTACAACAAATAAGGCGAACTGCTGCTGAGGCTTTAGCTCGCTGGCTAGCGTATTATGCTAACAGCTAGCTGGGTGGCCTGACCCATGAGAGAGAGAGAGAGAGAAAAAATATATATAACAGGCACATACACGAATATTAAAAACAACAAAAATAACTTCAAAATCCGACCACGTACGTACCTTGTTATTCTCCTTCCCACCACGAAAATAGCCAAGTTTTTTGTGTTTTAGCCGAGGCTGGCTGATTTAAAGTATCCAGTGAAACGTCTCAAAGCGGAGAGGCCAAGCGGAGGAGGCAGGAGTAGGGAGAGAGAGGGGGAGCTAATGCTAGCGAAAAGGGGGTAGGTAGCCAGTGTAGCTCGGAGGGAGAGCAGGAGAGACGGTGAGCGAGCGGAGGAGAGGAGAGAGGAGGAGAGAGAGGAGAAGAGGAGGAGGAGGAGAGGCTTTTGGATCCCTCTCCCCGGATTTTCTATCTCATAACAGCCGTCCCGCGCATCGTTCCCGTTCGTTTGAAGTCCCCGAGAGGTCGACGGCGAAGGAATAGTCCGTTTTTTTGGCTCGTCGCAAATCGACTCTGTCCCTTTAAAAAGAGAAATAAAAAGCTGCCCCATCCGCCGCCTCTGCTCCACTGCCTCTCTCCGGGCTGCTTGGCTGGTTTGGGGTAAAAGATGGAGCTTAGTCCCGCTGCGCCCCCAACAGGACACACCAGGATCGGCCACAGGCAGACCACAATGCACCGGGGCTCACACATGACACCAGCGGGGCTGAAGAGAGGGGGGAGAGCAACAGGGGCAGCAGATGATCTGGGAATGGATCTGGGAATGGGTGATGTGGAAAAGTTTATTGGAATAAAGATCAGTTGTTGTGTAAGTATTGAGAAAGTCCTTCACCGCGAGGAAGTGTATATGCTTATGTTCATACATCAGTATGATCTATAGTATAAAGTATGATCTATATGATTATAAACCTGTTTTCATGGTTGAGTAAACATCTGATAAAGTACACAGTTAAAGGGCCCATATCTCTGATTTACTCCATTTTTTAAAATGAGAGATTGATGGAGCGTGTAAACATTTTTAAAGCCACACTATGCAAGTTTTGGAGATCTCTCTGGTGGACTCTGTGCATAAGAACACTTAGTAATGTGGGCTGTGCTTTGGAGCCCTTCTCCGGGGGGATGAATCGGATGATTGAGAATACATTTAAAAAGAATTCAAAGAGAACTCAGTCAAAACTTGGTGAAGGACCTGTGTTCTGAGGATGTTCCTGAGTGATCTACTGCCGTCATCGTATTTTCATCACATTTACATGCACTTAATGTTCCGATTACTGCAGAAAATCAGATTTTGTCAGTAATCCAATCAACGCATTTAAATGCACTTGGGTAATCAGATGATGTGGAAACTCTAGGTCTACATGAGTCAGACAGTAATCAGATTTCTGCTTTGCAACCAGCCAGTAAACTCTCAGAAGAAGACATGACGTAAACGTAAAACTCAAACTTCATGCCGTGGCTTTTTTTTTTTTAATGTTGCGCCACTTTACCTGAAAATGTGAACATACATCATCTAGAAGATGAAGAATATTTATATCCTTCATTTCATTAAACAAGTAGTTAAGCTCAGCGTCAATCTAAAAGTTTTTTGCTGCATCTCGTGGCTTCGCTGCTTGCCTATTTCCGGTACTGGCATTTGTTTTCGCACATGCGCAGACTGAGAATTCCGAAAGAAATCAGAGTAAGAGTCTACATGCACCGAGAAATCTGATTACCGAGCTAAAATCCAGCTCTCTTTACCATATTTCTTAATCGGATTTGTAGACCTTACTCCGATCTAAGAAATCGGAGTGTGCTGTTTACATGACCATTTGAAAAATCAGATAACTGCAGTAATCATATTATGGTCGGATTATTGAGTGCATGTAAACGGACTTAGTGCAACATTCATTTTGCATCTGAGACCTAAACATTGAATCAGACCTTCTTTTTGAGGCTGTGCTTGTCACATTACTATGTAAACATGTGTGACAAGGTACAAAGAAACCCTGCAAAGCCCAACCCGACGCCCAACTTTTAAGTTGTAACATGTTTAAGAAATGTTGTTGGCATGTTAACCCAAGGTTAATTGTTCTACAGCATTTATGTGAGGTTAATAACTGAGTTATTCTATAAGGACTCTTATTGTGAAGGCAGGGCTAGACTGGTGGCTCTGTATAGGTGTAGATCAGGAAGAACTGAGAGGCAGCGAAGAGCTGATAGCTGAGAGAATAGGGCCAGACACGTTATAAAGGAGTGCAGTCATGCTTTTGTGTGTTATTTGAGCCAAACGTTACAAACAATTTACGTTGCTTTTGTCAGATTTTATCAGCAATTTCAAATAGGTATTTTAAACATTATTATGTTTTTTTTATGGCTTTTTTATAGCTCTCTCCCCATTCAAAGATATAGGAGTCTGGTCTTATATGGCTGGAAATAACTGCCCGGCGGTGTTGGCAAAATGGAGGTGGAGTCAACAGACTTTCCTATAAAGACTAACAGGGCATAACTGAGGCTTGGGTTGAACTGTTAGAGAGAAATCTGCTTATGTACGGCATAACTGTGGCCAACAACAGCTGGGTAATAAAGCACCACAACTTGTGTGAAAGCTTTGTCTCTTTTAATAGTGGTGAACACTACTTTACTATTACATGCTACATTATTATTCCAGGTTTCACAGGATGACTTGAAGCGGAGCGACACCACATTTTAGCGTGATTTTTTTTTGGTCTTTGTTCTTCTTTCAATTTTAACCAAAAGCATAGTGCAGCTTTTGAAAACAAACTGTTCAGTTCCAGTACACACAGTGCAAAAAACAGCTTGCCTTGAATGAATTGTTTTTGTGATGTCACAAAAAAGGACACATTTACATATTTCCACCTATTCAGCCTGCAGCAATTTCATTCTGCCCATTTACAGTGAACTCTTTTTGAATGAAACGCCATACAGGGCAGCTAATCAGAACTGAGGTCATCTACATACATCAGCAATTTACAAGGCAGAATAACAAAAATTGCACGTTTAATCCCAAGGGATTAAGAAGAAGTTGGAGAATGGTCATGTAAAATTTACTAATGACTAACAGACCTCATAACACAACACACGGTCCACATCACAATTGGACCTTAGGCGAGGAAATAAAATACAAGAAAAATATAGGAGATGGTCCCTTTAACAAGGATGCAGTCAAATGCAGCGATTAACAGAAAGATCTGGACTATTACACAGATTATAATGTGTATTTGAGCTCTCATCCCTCCAATATCATACAATAATACAGTGGAATGGGACACAGATGGATCAGAGCCACTCTTCAGACATCATCACAGACCACATTAAAGGGGAATTCCACCGCTTTTACACTGCTTTTTCAAAATTTCTGTGTAATTCAGTTGCTGAGACGTAAACAAAGTCATTCAGAGTTTGTTTTGATCTGAAATGGTTTATTTGCAGAGAAACTTTTACTGTCCAAAACAAGCAGTGAACCTGCCTGTGTCTTCTGAGTCTTTGTATATAGCGTTAGTGATGAAAAAATAGTGGTCAATCTGAAAAAAAGTCCTTAGGGACTACCCTTCATGTATCCATCCATCATGAATGGATTAAAATAAATGAACTAAAATGTGTTTTTGACCAAAACAGTGTCTTAGAGTTCAGGCTGAGAATTCATAAACATTTCATGTAATAACTTTCCAGGAAGGAGTTTTCAGGGTCTTTAACTCTTCAGAGGTCTCGTTTCTGTCACCACCACGGTGAACAACGGACTCGGTAAGTTTCTTTTTTTTTAGAGTGACACAAAATGTTTTAATATGATTTATTACAAGTCTCACAAGTTCTGATCTCTAAAGCCAGCTTTTCTCTATTTTGTTCACTGAAGCCTTTGGTTTTTGTTGTAAAAGCACTGTGTTTTCTGTTGGTATTCTGTCTGTATGCCTGCTTTGCCTGAAAAGCATCATGTTGATCATGAAATCTTATTCACTTTTTATTATTTTTTTATTACTTTTTTTATTTCAAGCATATAACCATATATATACAAACACGTATAACACTAGGATGCATAACAGCTTTCACATAACTCAGTACGTTTCTCTAGAACAAAGCATTTAACATAAAACCACTCTGATTGGTTTCATTGACATGTTAACAATTTAATGATGCAGAAAATTTGAGTTCCCCTTTATAACAGGACTAGATGTTGGCAGATACATAATAATAATAATAATAATAATAATAATAATATACACCAGTCATGGGCACAGAAATGATTATTGCTAAAATATTAGTATGGAATATTGCGATTTATATAATATATTTAGATTTTTTTGTATTATTTATTGAAGACCCCAGTTAAGATTATACTATTATTATTGTTATTTCTAAACCGGAAGTACTGCGTCGCCGTTTCCGTTTGCTCTTTGCAGAAGGGGCGCGAAATCGTTTGTCTGTTTAACCGGACCGGATTTTTGTTTTCGTCAATTTGTGATTAACAGCGGCCAAAAGTGTAAGTAAAGCTTTTATTATGTCTGTACATTTTAATTTAGTAATGTTTTGTGAGTCCGAGGCAGCTAAATGAGGCTTAAGTTGGCTTCCTGTCCGCCAGCTTCTTGTAATTTTCTCGTTCCACCTTAAATGGTCCAGCAGTTACATTCTGCTGCACCACTTAAGGTGGAACGGGAAGATTCGAACAAGAAGCCTGGCGAATGTGTCCCCTGTGCTCTTATGTTGGGGTTTGTTAGAGAAGATTCACAGTACTTAAACGAGTTTAAGGCTGTTTTAAGTGTGTCTTCTTCATTTACCGTGTTCAGTTCGCAGTGCGGTGCCTGAGCTCTCCGTCACTTTCGTCTCCAGCGTCATGAGTAAGCGCAGGTCCAGGGAAGCCCACCTGGCTGTTGGTGAATGTGTATCACAGGTTGGTGCTGCTTCTCCGTTCACGTGGCCGCATTTAGAGGAGATACATGTGTCAGTGTGGAGAATCCGTGGGGATACAGGCAACCTGGTATCGAGACCTTTCATAAATGTAAAAAAAATCAGTGTGATCCTGAACTACTGCCTGGAATCAAAGCCAAAATGTGAGGTGTGTTAATGCTACTACTACTGGGCGACAGACTTGAAGGGGAATTCCGTCATTTTCCAAATTATTTGCATGGCAACATCGTCAGGATGTAAACAGTCATTCGGATCGGTTTAATGTGTAATGCTCTGTTTTAGAGAAACCTACCAGGTGCAGCATCGTAAACTGAGATGTGGGCTCACCGATCATTTTGGATAGTAAGTAAAATGGTTATATGTGCAGAAGAAATCTGGGTCAGTAAGTTTCTCTACAGTGCTCAGTTTCACACCAAACCACTCTGAATGGCTTTGTTTACATCTTAATAATAAGATTATGTGAAAATCAGTAGAATTCCCTGTTAATGTTTTAATCTCCAAAAACATTTGTTTCTTTGTTGAGTAAATCTTTTTTTTTAATTATTATTACTATCAAGTCCCTGTAACCAGGTAACCATGGTACCACTCAGAGAGAGCTGGTAGGTTTCCCTTTACTGGAGGGCAAGGATTAGTTAAGTTCATCCAGATGGAAGTGGGACACAGCAGTTTATATGTGGGTGGGGATGGACCATTTTATTACCTACACTAAATATCCTAAAAAAAAACAAATAGTGAGGGTAAAATGTCAGATGCTAGATAGTATGGCTGACTGGCCAATACATGTCCCAAATTTAAAAATACTTCTCTGCTGCACTTTTTTTTAATCTGAAATTCCTGAGTTCCTTGTGAAATATCACTGTTAGCATTAGTGAGTCATGGAAATGCCATAAAAGGGGACAAAAAAAGTCCTGCATCTTTCGTAGACGTGCCTATTTGCCTTATAAAGTGGGTCCAGAATAGTCCCAAGAGTGAGATTTTAAGACTAGAAACGTTTAAAGAAAACTCTCTTCTGGTGATGTATCTTGAAGGTAGGAAGAGCTTTTGAAAAACTGCAAGCATTTTAAAGCAGCTACATGAGGGTGGGTTGTTTGAAGCCAGATAGCTAATGTTTATGTCTGTATTTATCAGCCTCCACATGATTGCATTTGTATAGTGTGTTTGCACAGTGCATACTGGGTATTGTAGTGAGGGAACACTGATGGATGAAAATGGAAAAACAACACAAAATCATGAATCCTGAGATTAAGGGATATACTTCTGCGCTACAAATAATATATTAAATGCTAGTTAAAGGACAGAAAGCCCCTTTAAAGGCTTTAACTATTTAACAACATCCTGTATTTATAGCTACAGCGACCAACCTAGCCTTTTAATTTAATAGAGATTTGCTGCATGAGTGTTTGTAAATTTAGATCTACTTATCCTCTATGTGATACATTTGAATTGAACTTTGAAACACTCTCGTTTCACCTTCTTCTGCAGGTCCAGAGAATATTGAGGGAGCGCTTTTGTCACCAGCGGCTTCCAGATAGACCAGTGGGCCTGGAATCACAGTACAAGTGGGTTTTTACAGTAGAATACACTTTGGATTAGTTGCAGAAAATGCATGTGTGAGCATTAGGTAACAGCAGACCTGTGCATATATGCTGTAAAATGGTTTGAAATACCATTGTGAGGGCGGTGAGATGCAATGACCATGTATGTGTGTTTAGGCACCTGCTGGAGCTGTTGAGGAGAACAGCAGTTCATGGCGAAAGTAACTCAGTTCTCATTGTGGGCCCACGTGGAGCCGGAAAAACCATGGTACGATAGTGTTTCAGTTTTTTCCTCTCTTCAGAGCTACATTCTGCTTCTGTTGCCACACAAATACAGCATGGCTTTGCTCACAGCCTTCAACTGATGTACTCAAAACTTCAGAATCATATAGTGTGTCCCAATTCAGGAGCTGTGTCCTTTGGAGGCTGCATTTTAAGGCCGATTGCATCACAGCAGCGTGACTAGGCTGTCCCATTTCAAAGACTCTTTCATATGCAGCCGAGAAATGTGTACTTCTTTTCCATGGCAACGAAGAATCCAACGGGTGCATCCTTCGGCAGCCAAAATATCCCGAGGTTCATTTTGTGCTGGCGAGGATTCGAGAACATGGCGGCTTTAACAGAGGAGCAAACGGCGGCTGAGGGGACAATAAATACAAGTATTGGGTTCAAACTGAGGCGAATGACTAACGATGCAAATATAAAAAAAAAAAAATAAATAAATAAATAAAATCTCATCAGTAGCCGGCGGTGAAGCATCTCCAGCTCTAATAAATGGAAAAAATAACCAACTAAAATCAAAGTGTCTGGCTCCGTCTATAAAGAACTTTAGAAGAACTTGACAGGAGCGGTGTTTTGTAGTGCAACGGTAAGGGGAACAGCGGTGCTGTGGCGCAAACAGAAAATCCGCCGTAGGGCAGACTGTCTCATTTCGGTACAGCCTTCGAAGGACATGCCTTCATAGACCACGTCCTTTGAAGGATAGAGCCCCTGAATTGGGACACACTGATAGTCTCTAGGGCTGCATAATATGGACAAAAATTGTGATTGTGTAATTACGTATTACAAATGTAATGTCCCTTGCAGGTTGTTATACAATGCCACTTTTTATTGTTTTGTTTCAGTAAAAGCAGTGCCCTGTGCCACAAATAACACATACTAAACTTGAATAAGTAACATTGGGAAATACTTTATTTTCCAATAAAACCATTTTGGATGCTTAAGACAACCTATTTTTATAAGTTAACAATGGCACATTATTCTGGGATGCCCTTTTAATAAGAACTACATACAGTAATTGAAGTAAATCTAAAATATTTTTAATTGCTCAAAATAAAAAAAAATAAAAAACAGAACAGGGAACAATATGTAGATAAACTTATGGTGCATACATGTAAGCAGCTTCTATGGTGTGGCAAAAACGGTGCTAAATGTTGTTTCATGTCTGAATTTCTCAAATCCCTCAGCAGAATGTGTCACATTATTGCTGATACTGATATGTTAATTAGTTGCCAATATCGGTGCAACACTATACAGCACAAATCTATTCACAAACTATTGTTATTGTTAATGTGATTAACAAACAACATATCGTGCTAGTTGTTTCCTAGAAGTGAATCATGTATATTGAATGTGTATCACATGACCTGGACATGCTTACTTTGTCTACTTATAACGGACAATCATGAACATGAACATATCATGCTAAATGGATGCTAATTTAACATGCATGTTTTGAGTGTGGGAATGTTTCTCATCCAGCTCCTGCATAGTGATGGGATATCTGAGTGTTTGTCTTTCTCTGTGTGGGCAGCTGCTTCGCTGTGCTCTAAGGGAGCTGCTGGAGCTGCAGGAGGTGAAGCAGAATGTTCTCCAGGTTCACCTGAGCGGTAAGCGATGTCGGATGTGTGTAGACGTCCCAAGGCTATGGCTGTTGCTGCGGTGATGGTTCTGTTGACAGCTGTGTGTGCTGTGCAGGTCTGCTGCAGACGGATGACCGTATCGCTCTGAAAGAAATTACTCGGCAGCTCCACCTGGAGAACGTCGTAGGAGACAAAGTCTTTGTGAGTCTGCTGAGTCAGCATGGCTGACCTAGGGCTACACAATATGGACAAGATACAATATTAGATTTATATTGCTGCCGAATCGCAATATGATTTGTGTTTCCTTATAAGGCTCATATCCCTTTTTTTGTTTTGTTTTTCTTTTTTTTTATTTTGTATTTTATTTATTCTGTTGAGGTCCAGCGTGTGTGTAGTTTTTTGCACAGAAATGGTCATAATTAATTTTTACATTGCTATTTTTCACCTCTTTTTTTTAAGAATTAAACAGGCTGTTTTTGTTGCTGTGCCTTTAACACTGTCTGTTTAAGTCTGTTCTGATTGGCTGCCCAGTATTGTGCCTCATTCGAAAAGCACTCAGTACTGAAACAAACAAAAAAAAATGTGTGGCACTAAACTGTAGGCTGAATAGGCAGATATGATTATATGGCTACATTCACATTGCCAGTGTGAAAATCCAATTTTTTGCCCTAATGTGACTCATCTGATGTTTTCAGGGCTGTGTGGACACGCAAATCTGATCTTTTCAAATCCAACCTGAGCCACTTTCGTATGTCGTCTTAGATTGGATACGCATCTGATTCATGGCCATGCAAACCTTAATGTCACGCTCAGATTGGAATTCATGTGCTTTTTTTTTCCCCACTGCGCGTGCGCCATCATTCAGTGTTACCATGGCAGCAGCACCGAACAGAACTTAAAGCCTGTAAACGGTGGAAAAGCAACACATCTCACCTTTTTCTCCTTCGTCTCGCTCTAATAATGAAGCTGAGAGCTGATCAGAGTTAATTATCTTTGCAGCGAAGCTCGTTCTGCTCGTTAGTTTGTGCTGATGATGCACGTGATTGATTCTCGTGACGTTACTGAGTAGGATATGCGCATGAGGGTCCTTTCAGGACGCCGGTTCGTCACATTACTGACAGATTTGAATCGCTTACCTAAACGAGTGTGAACCATCGTGTCAGAGAGATCAGATTTGAGCAATGAGGCTTGTAATGTGAACGTAGCCTAAGTTGGTTCTCATGACATCACAGAAACAGTGAATTCAAAACGGGCTGTTTTGCAGCTTAGTTTCCATATATGGACCATATAGACTGGAACAAATGGTGCATTTTGAAACTTGAAACCCACAGATTGTTCAGGATGTGTACAGCACACAAATATTGTTATAGAGGCTCATTTGCTGCAAAGCCGAATATTGCAACATTAATTAACAAACGCCTTTACCATGGCAGTATCCACATTTTGTGGTGTGTGGTTTTTCATATAGAGGAGTCAAATGGTTGTGAAAGCTTTGCTTTCTTTTGCAGGGCAGCTTTGCAGAGAACTTGGTATTTCTGTTGGAGGCTCTTAAGAAGGGTTAGTACCAATCTGCGGTCTCTCATGTACACAACACTATGTATCTTTCTAATATCTTAACTCCTCTATGTGTGCCTTTATGCACACAATCATCTCTCTCTCTCTTTGTCTCTCAGGATGCTTCAAGGTAGATTTAAGATTATTATATGGTACAATATTGCTGAAGTTTACTGACAGTAATAATAACAACAGCAATAGTTAACTCTTTCTTTCTCTCTCTCAAGGTGATAAGAGTAGTAGTCGTCCGGTGTTCTTCATTCTGGAAGAGTTTGATCTGTTTGCGCATCATAAGAACCAGACCCTCCTGTATAACCTGCTTGATGTGTCTCAGTCAGCTCAGGCTCCTGTGGCTGTGGTGGGCCTCACCTGCAGGCTGGTGCGTCCATCACTTGTAATATAAGGCACTGCAAACATACACTTCATATACCTGCATTACAGGCCAGACATATAGGGGCAAGCAGTGATTTTTGTTGTGTGTTAACAACATGGTATGCATGTAGAGTCAGTTTGCTAAAGACCTGTGCGAAGAACTGTATTGAACTGCTACAGTAAACAATCAGATATGCTGTTTGCTGTTCCAGAGACTTACAACGAGACTAAAATACTGACTTATACTTTTATAATTTTCAGAATGCTTAAGCGAGCACCTACGAGCTCCCTGTGATTTTAGTTTTGCCTTCCTTTTTAAACCATGTGAAAGTCCCAAATAAGCATCTTCTCTTCAAATCTGTACTGTCAACAGCAAAACCAGATATTTTCAGTATTATGTAAAGCTGTGATTGATTCTAAGAAGAGAAAGAGAGCCGTGGCTGACCCTCTCTACTTTCCGAGAATGTTATGCTTGCCAGTGATTATGTAGACCAGTCTACTCTTGCCTGATTGGACAAATGCAATGCGGCAACCACACTCATTTGCATACAGTTGAAAACTTTTTTGGAGTGCAGCGAGGCTAATCTTATGATCACTCACCTTTAGCCGGGTGAAGAATTTCCACAGGGGAGTGCTTTTAGTGCTTTTGGTTCTTTGCATCAATGACATCAGTGCATGCATTTCCTAAAAATTTCTTTGATTTGCAGTTCTGAACTTACTGTAGCGCAGGGCTGCCCAAAGCGTGACCCTTGAGGACGTTTGATTTAGCCCACCAGAAACCTAACCCCATCTCCTAGCCCAATGAGAGAACAAACATACTATACATAACATTTTAAATTCTTATTTATTCTTTTAACATTCTATTAGTTTACATATTTAAGTTATAAAATGTAATGATAGATTTTTAAAAATTCAAATTAACATTTACCTAAATTATTTGTATAATTTTGGATATGTAATATACATATTCCTGGGTGAACAAATGATGATTTCAGATCAGAATCCTCCATGTTCGGCCACTCTAAACTCTTCTGTTTGTGTTTTGCAGGATGTGCTGGAGCTGTTAGAAAAGCGAGTGAAGTCACGGTTTTCCCACAGACAGATTCACCTGTTGAGCTCGATGAGCTTCCGACAGTATCAGGACGCGTTTCGCTCTGAGCTCACCTTGCCAGATGATTTCCCCGACAGCAAGTTCTCTCAGGAGTGGAACCTCAGTGTCTCGGTACAACATACAGCACATACTTTTATGAAAGTAACTGATCACTAGTTAAATATTAGGACTTCTAACTGACTTGCCATTGCCAACATGTGCCTTTATGTGATGGCGGCACCTAGTGGTCAAAGTAGAAAATGCTTTCTTTTTGACTTCACAGAGAGCTGGCCACCTTAAAACTATAATTTAATGTTACTTGTCATGTTATGCAATATCCTGTTGTGCAGCAGTGCATTCCTCAGCCTCAGTGGTTTAACAGAAGTGCTTATTTTTGTATCCGTTTTATGTTTATCAGATAGCATGTAGATGGTAGTTTGGACACCTTCTTCGGAGGAAGCATTTAATGTCTCAGTGAAGATATTGTAGCAAGATTTATGGATTGGGAATGAGGCATAACTACAGTTTGGTAAAAAAAAAATTGAGATGTGTTTCTCTCAGCAACAGATCTGTCCCTAATTCCTCTCTGTCTCTTTTCCAGAAACTGTGTGAAGAAAAGTCGGTGGAAGAGATTTTACAGAAACATTTTAACTCCAGTAAAGATTTTCGCTCCCTGCATTTACTGCTGGTGAGAAGAACTATCCAAATCCATCAGCATCAATGTGCTGTCCCTGTTCTTTTCCTAAAGCAGCTGACCCTAAACAGTGTTTGTGTGTTTTTTCAGCTGCTGGCATTGACTCGTGTGTCCGTGTCGAACCCGACTCTGAGAGCTGTAGACATACTGGAGGCCAGTCGAATGAGCTCTGCTGACTCAAAAGCCAACATTCTCCATGGTGAGTGTCAAGGGCACAAACCACTCTAAACTGCTTTATGCAGTAATAATACATGAGAGTTCGGTACCAGTGTGCTGCACTCATAGACACTAGTTTTTTTAGAAATAAAAAGCTGTTTAACTTAAGTGTATCACTGCTGTCTGAAAACATTTTTGACATAATATGAAAATGCCTTGCCCTTTAAATTGTGTGTAAATTTCATGAGGAATGGGCCAAAAGAAACAGCCCAAAATGATTTGGAAAAAAGTCTGGTTCCATTGACTTACATTAAAAGTAAAGTAGGGTTTTTCCTTTTTCTGTAAAGTTACCATTTTGGAGATATGAGGTTTTGTTCCAGCAACAGTGATATGCTGGTGGCCCATCTAGGCCAATCTGTTGGCCCTGACTCTGAACGTCTTAATGCATTTAAAGAGAAGTTCCACCGATTTCTCAAAATTTCTGCCTAATAAAATCATTCATATATAACCAAAGTCTTTCAGAGTGGTTTTGTTGGGAATGTGCCGTTCTACAGAATTGTTGACAGTGGTGGTGATAGGAACGAAGCATCTGAAGTGTTTAATGCCTCTAAAAGCTCCTCACAGAAAGTTAGGGTTATGAAAAGGCAGCCTGATGCCTGAGACACTGCGTTGTGGTGGTTTTGAAAATGCAGGTCATTGTAAGACAAAATAGTCCTTAAAGAACACTTATTTTTTTGTTTTACCACTATTTTGCCGCCATTACATTTAAAACTCCCAGTACGTATTTAAGTTCACTGGTCATTTTGTTGTATATTTATATTGTATAAATCGTGAGCCCTGGTTCCCATCAGTACCACTGTATGCAGAAATTCTGAAAAATTGGTGGATTTTCTCTTTAACCCACACCATAATCCAAATGCTTGCATGACTTTCTGAAAAACACTGGGATACTTTATGAGCCCTAAAATATTCTAAAGTTGTTTTAGATTCAACGGTTGATAGTGATTTACAGCATATGGCTCAGAATAATTTGATATTAAATTCAACATAATTTAATGTCAAATTATTAAATTGTGTTAACAGAACTATTGAGACAACAAACTACACATGATGGCTTCATGTTAAGTGAATGAATTAGCAAATTAATACTATAAACAGTAAAAATCACAGTTTATTTGATTTAATAATTCACAGACCTAGAAAGGCTTTTGTCTTATGTTAAGCACACATAAATATGAATTCCGTATGTCAGTAACATTGCCCCTCCATGCACGCCACCTTCATGTGTACTTCTTTGATCCTTAACAGAACTAGAGAAAATCAAAATATAGCAAACTCAATTCTGGTTTTATTTTTCCAGGTCTGTCCGTCCTGGAGTTATGTTTGATAATCGCTATGAAACATCTGAATGATATCTACGAGGGAGAACCCTTTAACTTCCAGATGGTTCACAACGGTATGAACTAAGTCTAGATTTCCTGTGAATTCATCACCGCTAATACAGTAGATATCAGACTTGGAGATAAATAATTAGATCAAAAGAGAAATTTTAAAATTAGAAGATGATGTTCTTTCTACTGTGTGTTTATACCATTTTCTGTAGTTAAATGTGTCTGGATTTGTACGGAAATGTTTCAGGGACAGTATTTTGTCTCTTCTCTCCCCAGAGTTTAAGAAATTTATTCAGAGGAAGTCTCACTCCATCCATAATTTTGAGAAGCCAGTGGTGATTAAGGTGAGAAAGTGTGCTTTAATTTGAGCTCAGTCCCGCTCACTTAAAGGGAAATTCCAATGATTTTTCAAAATTCCTGAAAGTCAGAGTAGTTTGATGTGAAATGCGCCGTTCTAAAGACACTGAGTCAGAATGATTCACAATGGTGGTGATATGAACCAGACGTCTGAGGAGTTTAATGCCTCTAAAAGTTCCCTCTCAGCAAGTTACTACATGAAATGTTCATGGATATGTTTACTGATGCCTGATGCCCTTGAGTTTCTGATCAGGCTTCCATCAAATTAATGTTTCAGACAAAATAAAACTTTGGCATTTGCCGCCATCTAGTGGTCGAACCTACACGCAGTGACACATTACTGCTTGTGAAGCCATTCCCTGATGGTGACTTCAAACCCTGCAAACAACCTGCAAACAACCTGCAAAACAAGACAAACAAAACGCACTCAAACAACGAACCTCAGTGCTTTACTGAAGGTGTGTGAAGATCTCAGAATCATCTCAGTATCAGCAGAAAATTGTATTAAAAATATTGGCATTGGACAGATGATTAGATTTGGACGATACCCGATGACACGTGCATCATAATCTACAGGAGCAGAATATTCAGCTGACATTGGACTAAAATATCTTAATTTTTTATTAATTTTACTGCATTTATACCCTCTATGACTAAATGTTATATTTTTCTGTAATTCTAGTAAATATAGTATCAGTTTCTACATTTAAAAAAAGTGCGTGTATCGGAATCTGCAGATATGTACAAGAAAAATATCAGACATCAGCTTTGAGTTGCAGTTCCCATATTGCTCTATCTGTATCGTTTACTTTATTAACTGATTGAAGTGTTTTACCGTTTCGAGGAGCAAAAGCCTGGATTTATATTGACTTGTTCATTGTAAGACTAAGTGTAAGAATCTCTGAGCTCCCAGTGATTCAGTTTGGCAATGATTTTGTGCATCTTTAAATCTCAAATTTCACCACAATTTAATAAATTTTGTAAGACTCAGAATTTTTTAGAAATACGCTAAATACACAGATTTGACTGGAGTAACGATTTACACAGTCCTGGAATGAAGACCGATCTGAAAACAGCCAGAGAATTTTGTTTTAGATAAAAAGCACATGCTTGGAGAACCTTTATTGAATATGAATACACATTATTGGATTTACTTTCATATGAAATAATTTATTATTTTATAGATTTTATAAATGCTTAACCAGTGCAGATTTATTTACAAAACTTTATATCAGACAACAAAGCATTGTATGTTTTATTCAGTATCTTAAGCATTTTGGCTAAATAATATACTGTAATTATTTACAGGTTTTTTTTTTATCTGCCTTCAGATGTGATCACTTTAGAAATTATGGTTACTGAGGTTATTAACTAAAATTATGAACAAGCATCCTCTAGAGGATAAAGAATATTTAAGTCCTTCATTTCGTGTTTGGTTTCAGCGCCACTCAAAAAGTGTTTTGCTGCGTCTCGCGGCAGCACTGCTTGCTTATTTCTGGTCCCGCAGTCTGTTCCACACATGCGCAGACTGAGAAATCCGAAAGAAATCAGAGTAAGAGTTCACATGCACTGAGAAATCTTATTACTGAGCTAATATCCAGCTCTCTTTATCTGATTTCTTACTTGGATTTCTAGTTTGGAGTATGGTGTTTACACGACCATTTGAATAATCGGATAACTGCAGAAATCCGATTATGATCGGATTATTGAGTACATGTAAACGTACTCGCTCCAAATTTTTGAATGGTGATTCCGAAATGTATGTAGTGTAAATAGATTTTAAACAAAGTTATTATATATAAAGTTAACACTTTAATAGCATGTATATGTAATTATTTTTTAATGTCATTATTTATAACGTTTTTTTTTTTTTTAACTTTTTGTTCCCTAGTTTGACCATTTGAGCGATCAGTATATCCACCCTGAAAAATTTATGATGACAGTTTGTCACAAGTTATGACATCAAACGTTATAATATCTGTCTTATGAATTGCAGGTAATGGTAACATGATGCAATTATATTAATTGATTAATGGATATAAAAAAAACACTCATGACAGCTTATGATATCTGCCATGACATGTTTACGGCATAGTTATGTCAGTGTTATGTAGATTTCTAAAATCAAAGCAATTTAATCTGCACCTTCAGATCAATGCATGACGGTGCATTTTTATACTCCTATTAGAAGCATCTAAACAGAGGTGAGCCTTGGCTCTGAGCAGCAGTTAAACTGCTTTAGCTCAGGATTTGCAATGCCAGTTTACAGTGTTCATGCTCCAGTGCGCCTGAATCAGCTGATCAGTTAATTATCGAGTTGACTCAGGTGTGGCGGAGCAGAAACACACACACACACAGTGCTGCATCCCTTCAGAAGTCTGATACCCCTGATTTAGCTGATATGATGATAGTAATTATAGCATTATTACAGAGCTTTATCTCTCTCTGTGTTATGTGCTATAGGCGTTTGAGCACTTGCTGCAGCTGGAGCTGATCCGGCCGGTGGACGGCGGGGTGTGTAAGGTGCAGAGAGAGTACCAGCTGATGCGGCTGATGCTGGATCACACGCAAGTAATGGAGGCTCTGCAGAGATACCCACAATGCCCCACTGATGTCAAACAGTGGGCCGTTTCTGCCTTTGGGTGATTTCTTACAACTCCAGTTCAGTTTAAACATTGTATTTAAACTTCATTCGTTTTTGTAAATGATGTAAAGATCTGTATTGGTAGGTTTTCTCATGCAGGTTGTAGATCTCTGAAGTTGTGCATCATGCCCATATTAGGAAGTCGTAGCAGGTTTTCTCTATGGGAAAATTGAATGGCATTTTCGAGAATCGGCACTATCGCGTCCTGTGGTGAACAGAAATATTCAAAACCCAATACGTTTTGTGCTACATACATTTTTCCCTCTGGGTGTCACTGGATCAAGGTGTTCAGCAGTCAACAAATGAATAATGCTAGAAGCTGGCTTATGCCTGTGCACTGAAATGTTATGTAAAAGTAAGTCTACTATTAAAACTGAATTTCATTGATTTTTCCAATATTCTGTATAGTTTAATCATTAAGATGTAAATAAGTTATTCAGAGTGGTTTGGTGTGTAATGCTCTGTTCTAGAGAAACCTACAGAGTTTGGATTGTTCACAGTGGTGGTGGGAGAACCCAGATGTCAGAAGCATTTGACGCCTCCAAAAGCTCCCTCTCTGAAAGTTACACAAAATATTTATAAATACATTCTTTTACGATAGTTTTAAAATTTTGAGACTAAAATGTTTTTTTTAATACATTCGAGGGGTTGTAAGGCAAAATAGTCTCACATTTTTTCTGACTAAATAATATTTTGTTATTGTCAACTGTACACTGTACTGTTGCACTGTAGACATTGCGACCACTGGATTTCTGCCACCACCAATAAAGAAATTAGAATCTGTAAATTTCTCTACAGTGAACCATTTTGCATCTAAGCACTTTGTTTGCATCTTAATGAATGATGCAGAAATGTTCAGAGATCTGCAGAACTTCAGCACTGTTATATACCAAAACCAGCTACTCAAACTGGAGCCTAAAACCTGCTGGTTTGTGTGGGGTATTTTGGTGAGGTTCGCACTAGTGTTAGCATGCATGTAGCAATAATCATATTTTGGCTTCTCGTAATTCAGAGGATCCAGCGACAATTGTAGGATGGGAAACGTATCAGCTTTGACCATTTTAGTTTACCACAGGATGCGATATTCGTGATTTTCAAAAAACGGCATTCATTTTTCTAAAACCTGATCTGGAATTCTTAACATGGACAAGACACCAAATAGAGGATGATGTCACCACTACAGATGTCTGATGTCTGCATCTGAGTAATTTTGCCAGTGGAGAAATAAGTATCTATTTTGTATTTTGTGCAGATTTATCATTCAACTGAAATACCTGTGGTTAACTGAGATTTTTCTGAAGTTAAAGCCTGTTTCAGCAGCTCGATGCAGTAACACCTGTTTAGTAGCACTCAGTGATTAGGTTTCATTAAACTCATCTAAAGGAATATTCCAGTGTTTTTGACCTAATCTCGATCTGCTGCATCTGTAGAATATTGTTAAATCTGATAGACAGTAATTGCAGCATGTTTCCTTGTACTTAGAAAGTACCAGAAAACCTAATGACCTGAAACTCACTTATAATGGAATTTAATGGGCAGTTGCTGAATTCTCTGTATAGATGTTTAAAATATGTGATGAACCTTCAAACCAGTGACTATAAGGCACGAACAATACAGGTCTAAGGATGAGAACGACATGAGAGAATGTCTCTGTTCTCATGAGGTCAACGTTTGAACGCTGGAGCAATAAAAGAAAAAAAAGAAGTTCCAGTTCTAGTTGGTTTCGCTAAGGTTTTTTTGATGTCCATCATGAGGAGCCTGGACTTTGCTGGTAATGTATTAGTTCTACAGAAGTCCATGTTTACTGACATAATTCAGCAACAGCCTAATAACTTCTGCTCAAAGTATGTTTCAGGTCAACATGTCATACAGATTTGGTTGAAAAACGCTGCAGTATTCCTTTAAAAGGCCTTAAATTGTGTGTACACCTCAGCCAGCCAAGCAATACTGTGCACAGCTGTTGTTATTTCTCACTTTCCCAGATTTGTGTAAAAGGGTGTGTGGAGGGGGAGGTATCAGAAAAAGGTGTAAAACGAAGGAGTGTGCCTGTGAACCTAACAAATTAAATGAACGCACAAAGTTTGAAAGAAGAACAAATTAATTAAAGTACATCAAGATGATGGATAATGGATTTATATGGCAAAGTCAATAAAGGAAGCTAAGCTAAAGAACAAATGTTCCTCCTCGCTGCCTTGTTTTCTTACTTTGAGAGTGCGTTTTTGAGTTTGGCTGTTTTCAACAAATGTAGTTCCACTGCCTGGATTGACAATGAAAAACCACCTGGCTTTTGGAGGTGAAGTTATTTCTTGGCCCTTAAGGTTTTCCTTAGTCATACCAGGTGCTTTCAGACCATTTTTCCTGGTGAGATATGGCCCAGAAGTTACTGATAAACTTGATTAGGTGAGCCAGGTGGGACTAACATCTCCCGGAAGGAGAAAACCTAGATAGAGCTCACAGTTTTGGTTAGGCAGTGTCTCAAACAACCATATTTCCCCCAATTTAGTCATGTCCAGTGCCCGCCTGTAGCCAGGCCTCCCCATCACACAATGCTACCAAGCTGGGAGGGTGAGAGTTGGCACAAACTTCCTCTGAGACATGTAAAGCAAACTGCCGCCAATGCAACGTCATTGGACAGCTCAACATGCTTGGAGGAGAGCACTAACTGCCATTTCGGTTCCACCAGCTAACAAACATCTAAGTTGGCTAGCATCACACTGAGTGATGGGGAGTTTAGGCTAAAACTTTACAATTTCCAACAACAGCAGAACTATGAACAGTCCGGAATGCCGTGAATTGGACAATCTGTGCTGTGCTGGCAACGGCCTCCTCTTAACAGGAGTGAACGAACTTTTCATGACTGGTTTGACATGGGAAGAAATTAGGCCTGTTCAAATTTCAGCTGTATTATTTAGTAATGCAGTTTATTAATTTTTAATGTTTTTGTAATCCACCAAAACAATGCCAAACCAGCCCACCTGCTAAATCCAACCAAAAGCTGCCCAGTTTGGCGGGAAACCCTCCAATCTGGCAACGCTGGCACTGGGTTGGCTTTGAAATTTTACACTCAGTAAATAAGTGTATGCTCCTACCTATATTTAGCCCAAATGTTCCAGTGGTTGTCCCCTCACATTCTCATTATGAGATCCCCGAGAGACTTAGCCCCCAGGTAATTTGAGTTCGAGACCCCTGCTCTAAGATGACTAAGGCCCAATCCCGTTTCTTATTTCTACTCCTACCCCTATTTTCGAGTGTCACTTTGCCCCTTGGAACTGAGTTACAAAGGCGTAGTGGTTAAAATCTTCCCTACAAAATGGGACCCTCAAATAAGAAGAGCATTACTTCATTAACAGCTACTAGCGCTGCTCTGTAGGCGACCCAGCCCGTCTTCAGGGATAGCAGAGGAGGGTAAAGTTCAGCTCCTCACTGCTGGGCTTTAGTTACATTTAGGGCATCATATGCCTTCAAAGAGGGGGGGTGTGGAATTGTTCATTATCGCCCACCCCTAATTCTTTAGTCATATGAAGCTGAAGTCAGATATTTATTAGCTTCTTGTTCGAATTTTCCTGTTCTGAGGCATCAGAATGTAACTGCTGCACTATATAAGGTGGAACGGGAAATTTAGCCAGCTCGCTACCGAGACATCCTTTTGTTCAGAGTGTGTTTCTTAAAAACCTCAGTTTGGAGGGCCATGTAATCCTAACACTTCACCCTACCCCTCTATCTCAACAAGAATCAGGACACCCTACCCTTAGGCGTGAACGTGCAAAACGGAGGGTTAAGGGCTAAGTGGTAGGGGCGCGGGGTGAAACAGGACTGAGCCTAAGCGCGATGCTTCAGATGTTTTCTCTATGAACCCAATCCAGCTCAGTGCTTCTACATATACCGCAGTTCACATATCCCACAGTCTGGTCTGCATGCCTGAAAGAAACCTCATCTTTCTATATACCTGCCTGAGCTGACACTCTTCATCAGCAGAGCCAAAGCTGCGACACATAAACACATCAGCAGACGTATCTATGAGCTTGTGGAATCTATGTTTATAGTGCTACGCCAAGCTTACATATATCTCGCTATGCATTACTCAGTGTAAATGTTATTTAGGATATGCTCACAGTTTGTTCTGTCTGTACTAGACGTAGCAGCTTATAAATAACTGTTTGTCAGTGGAGGGTCATGCAGAGCGGGTGATACAAGAGAAAGAGAAGACAGACGAGATGTGAAGAGATGTTGAAATGCCAAATCCATGATGCTGAAGAACTCGGTGACCCTCTCTCAGCCTGTCTCTCAGCCTTTTTTCCTCATAGGTAACGCAGCTCCTGATGTGATTCCTGCTGACAGCGTGTCCCCTCAGAACGCTGCGGCCTCACAGGAGGCACAAAAATAAACAACAAACAACATGTAAGGTTATAATCCAGCACTAACACAGCACATGCTTGATTCACTGAAGCGTTTGTGGTGTTATTGTAGTGCATTCATGGTCCCCGAGAGGGGAAAGAGAGAAGGTTTAGATCGAAATATTCAAGTTTGGAGTCACCCTCCATTTCTCAGGTCTTCTTTTAGATGCAGATCGGAGGAAAGACGTCATCTGCCGGTGCATTTGGGCCAAAGAAAAAGGGTGAACATGCAGTACTGTGCAACTGTGGAAACTTCATCCTTCATTTATTTAATGTACAGTCAAAATCACTAACATTAAGTACAACATTTTCATTTTTAATAAGGCTCTACATCTAATTAACATCAGGTTTGTGTGTGTTTACCTTAATTTCAGCTTCCATTCTTTTCGTCTTGCTTTTAGTTTTCCAAAGGAATCTGCAGGGATATTTTTCCCACCTCCAAAGTTCAGTCGGTTGCATTTTCTGCTTCTCACAATCCAAGTAATCCCAAACACATTCAGGGATGTTGAGGTCTGGACTCTAGGGTGGTCAAAAGCTTCAATTACAGCTCTGAGTAAAGGCTTCCTGACCGCTACACATCCTTTCAGACCCATAGTGTTGAGTTGTCTTGTCACAGTGGAAGGATGGACAGAAACACCTGTGGATGTTTTCAGATCTGAAGCAGCTTGATTTTCTCTTCTCGCTCAAAGATGAAAGCTTTAAGTGCTGTTTGGGGACAGTTTTGGTGTTGACCAGGTCTTGCTAATTTTCTCTAGATCTTTAGCTCTTAAACTTTTTTGAACTCCAGTTTTGGACACTTTCATTTTGTCACTCATCTCCTTCCTTATATAAGTGGATTATCATATTTAGTCTCCTAAAAACATCTCCTGGAATATATCTTCTGAAAATGCAACTAACTTCTGAGACAGAACTTTGGAGGTGTGGAAAAACATCCCTGCAGATTTCTTTGAAAAACTGAAAGCAGGTCTGCCGAAAAGAGTGGAAACTGTAAAAAAGATGAAGGGTGGAAACATTAAATACCGAAATATTTCATATTATATTTAGTGGCTGAGGCTTCTTTCTGGAAGTCCAAAGAGGCCGTAAGGTAGTTATAATTTTCTGGCTAGTTATTTTGAGATATCGAGTTAATTATCTTGTTATCTCAAGATAACAAGTTAATTAACTCCTTAAGATAGCAATCCAGAAAATTACAGCAACAGCTCATGGCCTCTCTGGACTGTTTAGTCCATTTTGAATGGAGATTAA